CAAGAAAGAAAGATTATTTATTAGACACGTGAGCTCCGAGTTTATCTTTGTTTGGTGCTAATCATGCAATCCATGTTGAAAATACGAAACACTTAACTTTTCAAGCTATTATTTCTTTATTTTTACCTTACATATTTAACGTGGATTATAAAATAAAGATAAGCTTAAATTATTATATTCCAATAAGAATTCTAAATGCTAGTTTAATAAATATTGTAATCAAAATAGTTATAAACAATGATTCTAAACAGAAATCTCTTTTTATTTAGTTGTTGTAATTGGAGACTGATTTGTTGTCATGAAAAGGGTCTACCGTTGCCTTTGAGAAGGCTGATATGCTACCTTGGGAGGTGGCTACTGCTGTGATTTCTTGTTGTGTTTGGGTTACTATTTCCCTTCTGTTGTTTTCTACTACTTTTTGAAGGCTAATCTTCTACGTTAAAGGTGCTATTTATCTCCTGTTATTGCAAGCTTTGCTGCTGCTGTGGAGGTTCTGTTATTACTGCTACTGGAGAATTTTTATTTTTTTTGGTTGCTAGTGTGTGGAATTGCTGGTTGTGCTGCTACTATACGGTGATTGTTGCTGCTAGTTTAGAAACGCGGTGGCTATTCCCTCATGTTGCGTGTTGATGCTACTGCTGTGTATGTTGTTGGAATATTGAAGCTATTGTTACGTGCTTCAAGCTACTGCTGTCGTTGCAAGAAACTACTGCTATTGTGTCTGAATTTGTTATACGTTGCTGGTCTAATTTGTTGGAATGGAAGCTACTACACTGCTGGAACATGTGACTGCTACAGCTGAAATGTTATGCTACTGCTGATGACTGTTGCGTCTGGTGCTGCACATAGGGATTGTTGTGGTACTCTCCTATTCTTCCAAGTTCTGATTCTGAGGAAACACTGCAGCGAAGAAAACGACATCAACCAGAAAAACATTGCGCTCACTTGTGGACAATAATTTTTGTCACGACATTTCTCCATCTGCATAACATACACACAAGATATTATAATAACCCCTTCACAAGAATAAAATAACAATTTTATGTAAATTAAAAAATAAAATAATTAATTTTTTTTTAATTTCTCATTCTTAAATTAAAAAATAAAATAATTAATTTTTTTTAATTTCTCATTCTTAATTCGTTTTTAAATTAGTATTTTATAAGTTGGAGTTTGTAAGTTTACAAGATTATTTTCTAATTTTTTTTTCTTGGATATTTTTTTATGTTTTTCCTTTACTTTTTTCTATTTCTCTCTTACCTTTTCTTTTCTTTATTTTTTTATTTTGTTTTTTTTCCAATCGGCAACATATAAAAAGAAAAAAGAGCTACTTATTTTATTTTTTTAATGGCAAATAACTATTTTACTCTTAATGAGTCGTTTTGCTTTTATTTGATGGTTCTTTTTTTTGTTAGCATTACCAAGCTCCGTTTATCCTAAAATTTTAATTAGATTTTATTCAATATATTTTAAGATCTCTCGTAAAATTTTAGCTCAATCTGATGGTCGGATTAAAAATTATGTCCACTAACGTAAAACTGGTCAAATTATAATTTTTCATTAAATTTCTAAATTTCTCCAAAAATTATGAAATTTTAACCCAAGTTAAAGAATCATATTAGAAGGCTCCACGTAAATTTTTAGAATTTTTTAATAACTTAATTAAGAATTATAATTTTTTTTATATAAAACTAATAAAAAAATATTGATAAAATCTTAACCTAGGCTATAGCCCTCCCAAGCCTTTGACGTGCCTCCACCTATGCATACACATGTAACTCGAAATATTTGGCTGGTTTTATGTTTTGCTTTATTAGGGTGTATGTTTCACTAGTTGCTTCTAGTTTTGAAGCAAACCAAAAAAAAAAAACTATTTAATTAAATATAAAACATAGTTTATTATTTGTAGGACTTAATATATTTTGTGTTTAAAATATATGTTAATCGAAAACAGCTTCAAGCTACTTCTTTTCTTATATATTGTTCATGTAGAGTAAATTAATTTACTTTGCATTGTTTATTTTTGCGAAAAGAGCAATTTACTCTACACATAAAAGTGAACAGTGCAAAGTGAATTTATTCACTGTGTACGTTCATGTGAACGTGCACAGTGAATAAATTCACTTTGCACTGTTAAATTGTTCTTTTCCCAAACAATATAGAGTGAATAAATTCACTTTGTATTGTTCATTTTTGTGTATAGAGTAAATTGTTCTGTTTACAAAAGTGAAGAGTGCAGAGTAAATTAATTCATTATGTATTAACAGTAAAAAATTTAATTTTTTCATTTTTAATTGTGTTTATTTAAAAAATTAGTATTTAACATTATTCAATAATACTACACAAATTAGAAGGAAATCGCATGATGGTATAACATTTACAGAATTTTAATTTTTTTTCTTGATGAGATATATATATATATATATATATATATATAGTTGTTTTATAATCTCAATTTCAAAATCATTCTTAACCAAACACATTAAATTACTTTTTGTTCAACCTCAATTAAATTATAATTTTAACCAAATATATATAAATATCAAACCAGCCTTAACCAAAAATATTTTTTATAAAATAATTCTTTTCAAATCACAGTCATAAAAACTACCACAATGTATTTATTAAAATAAAAATAAAAATAAGTACTAATACAAAATGTTTAATTGAAGTTATTTATCTATTAAACATTTGCAATTACAATCTTATCCACCCATTAATTTACTTTCACAGGCTATTATATATATGAAAAAAAATGATTCATCATGTTCTATATATTATTCTGGGCTTGATATATATATAACGCACTCAAAATTCTTTTTGATTCACTTTAATTTTTGACACATCTCACACATTGAACAAATTAGCTCTAAATATTAGTGACCAGTTTCATAAATCAAATGATAGAAATTTTAAGATAAGCAAATTCGATCCAGAAAAAATCAAATGATAGAAATTTTAAGATAAGCGAATTCGATCCAGAAACTCTGGATCTTTTCATAAAATAGTGGAAAAGTATCCTTCTTTTTTTATACAAACACATCATACAACATGTAGTAGTATTTAATTTTGATAGATAAAAAACTATTTAAAAAATATGATGATGTTAAAAAATAGAGCACACTTTAAATATACTCTCAAATTATTGTAGTGGTCTCATTTTTGTATCTAAACTATTTTTATCAATTTATCACCAAATCATTTTGATTTATCAATAAATGTTTTTATTAAAGTCACTTAATAAAAAATGTTAAGTTTTTTATGAAATGATATCACTTTTTTACAAAAAAAAAAAATTAAATGAAAAATCTTAAAATAGATGAGAATCCTAATTTAAAACAAAATTGACATAAAAAATTAATGATAAAATTAAAATTATTCATATAGTTGAAGAATGGTATATTTTTTAAAAAGAAAAAAACACTTGCACCCAAACAAAAGCCAAATGACCTTTTTTATTAAAAAAAAAAGAAAAGAAAAAACTTGCACCCAAACAAAAGCCAAATGACTTTTTTTTTTTAAAAAAGAAAAGTATAATTATTAGACCAGGCTTGATGAGTTTACTCAGGACTTATAATCCTATCCGAGTCTAAATTTGATAAAACCTAGGTCTATAATTGGCCTGGATAAAATCATATAACCTGCTGATTCAATTCAAAATACAGGTGACTTGATAAAACCTAATATAAAAGTATTATTATTTTCATGCTCCTTATTTTTTTAGGCAAAGACCGTACATCTAATTTTTTTATCATTCTAAAAAATGTGGACATGCTGGGTTTTTTTTTAATGCCAATATTTTCTTTAACAAAATAAAAAATCAAATTTATAGATTTTTTTTAGTATTTTAAAAAATATTTTCTTGTGAAACACTTTCAAATAAGCAAGTGGTTTTAACTAGGATGGATAACAATAATAAAAAAAAAATAGTGGTTTTAGTCGATAGAGGGACAAAAACAAATTATTAAGTTTTTTTCATAATTTTAAAACTTAGCTCAGCCTAGCGGGTCGATCCGGAACTTGGTTGACTCGGGGTTGGAACCGAGCCAGGTTTATGAAATAATAAGGGTAGTTAAAAACCAGGCTAACCCACCCAAAACAGATCAAAAACCCTGTTGCAATCCATTAATTATTTTTTATTTTTTATCAAAACAATGTAGTTTTAATTTGTAAAAAACAATTAGGGTCGACCTAGGTGAGCCGATGACCCTGTCAAAACCTGTGATCCAGGCCTAAAGTCAAATTGACTACCGGGTCGGGTCTAAAAACACTGATTTTTTCAAAAGGTCCATAAAGCATAGATGTTTTCTCACATGTAAGGAAAAGAAAATCAAAGATTTTTCTTTTACTCGGTTCAATCTTATATACGCAAGCTTAGCACATTTCCTTATTAATTACTAATTTATATTAAAGTTTATTATATAAATACTAGAATGTTGGATTGAAAATTCATTAGTATTTATACTATTTATTCACATTAAGAAGATTGTGTTTTTTCAATGTGTGATAGGAAAGTTTTTTGTTTAAATATTTCAAATTAAAATGATAGGATAATATATTTTCAATGTAGAATAATTTTTAAAAATAATATTTTACATTTTATTATTTATAACATTCATAGCAGACATTTATATAAACTATTTTTTTAATTTTTTCACTTGAAATATTAAAATTCTAATTTTTGTATTTTTACTTTTTTAAAGTTCACTCTAGTAAAATCCAGCCAGATTTAATAATAATAATAATAATAATAATAATAATAATAATAATAATGCTTAGGTTAGTAGATAACATAAGCCCTACGTTGAACTGACATCATCACCATGAATGTAGTGGAAGTGCGTAAAAGGTAGTATATTCATCCAGAAAAACTCAAACCATCTAGAAGCAAAAGAAAGAAAGAAAGAAATGAAAGAGAGAGATTCCTTTCCCTTTTCCAGAGTTTGCCCAGGTTATTTCGGCTCTCAAATAAAGAAAAAAACTTACACTCCTGTCATTAATTCCACAGTTGACCACCAAACAAATTATGGCCTCCTAATTAATTCATCACACGACCACAATTGACAATTATACACCGAAATAAAATAGATATTATTAAATATATACGTAACCAAATCCTCTTATATAATGGCACCGTCCTTTCTCCTATGAGCGTCATTCCTGTAACACACCTACAAACCATAAGCAGCAAGCTTAAGCCAAGCTTTTCCCCTGCTATCTCTATGGCACAAACAGATGCACCAGCCCATGTAGCAATTTTACCGAGTCCGGGGATGGGTCATCTCATCCCTCTAGTTGAGCTAGCCAAGAGACTCGTTCACCAACACAACTTTTCAATCACTTTCGTTATCCCAACAGACGGTTCTACCTCTAAGGCACAGAGATCAGTTCTTGGATCACTCCCTAGCGCAATTCACTCAGTATTTCTCCCCCCAGTTAATCTAAGTGACCTCCCTGAAGATGTCAGGATTGAAACCACAATTAGCCTTACAGTCGCCCGGTCACTCCCTTCTCTACGTGATGTTTTCAGGTCTCTAGTTGATGGAGGTGCCAGGGTTGTGGCCTTGGTTGTTGATCTTTTTGGAACTGGTGCATTTGACGTTGCTAGAGAATTCAACGTCTCTCCTTACATTTTCTTTCCTTCTACGGCCATGGCTCTGTCTTTATTCTTTTATTTGCCAAAGCTTGATGAGATGGTTTCTTGCGAATACAGAGAGATGCAAGAACCCGTGAAAATACCCGGGTGCTTACCGATATATGGGGGAGAGTTGCTTGACCCGATTCAAGATCGAAAGAATGACGCATACAAATGGCTTCTTTACCATACAAAGAGGTATAGGATGGCTGAGGGTGTGATGGTAAATAGCTTCATGGACTTGGAAAAGGGGGCTCTAAAGGCTTTGCAAGAGGTAGAACCTGGCAAACCAACCGTTTACCCCGTCGGTCCACTGGTCAATATGGATTCCAGTGCTGGGGTTGAAGGGTCTGAGTGTTTGAGGTGGCTAGATGATCAGCCACACGGCTCAGTATTATTTGTTTCATTTGGGAGTGGTGGGACCCTCTCTTTGGATCAGATAACTGAATTGGCTTTGGGTTTGGAAATGAGTGAGCAGAGATTTTTGTGGGTTGTGAGGAGCCCAAATGATGCAGTATCTAATGCCACATTTTTTTCTGTGGATAGCCACAAAGACCCTTTTGATTTCTTACCGAAGGGTTTTTCGGACAGGACCAAAGGGAGAGGTCTAGCAGTGCCGTCATGGGCGCCACAACCACAGGTTTTGAGTCACGGCTCAACGGGAGGGTTCTTAACCCATTGTGGCTGGAATTCCACCCTTGAAAGTGTCGTGAATGGTGTGCCATTAATCGTGTGGCCACTCTATGCTGAGCAGAAAATGAATGCATGGATGTTGACTAAGGATATTGAAGTGGCCTTAAGACCAAAGGCCAGCGAAAATGGCCTCATTGGAAGAGAGGAGATTGCAAATGTTGTGAGGGGTCTGATGGAAGGTGAAGAAGGGAAGAGGGTCCGCTACAGAATGAAGGACCTAAAAGAGGCAGCAGCCAGGGTGCTCAGTGAAGATGGATCTCTATCTGAGCTGGCTCACAGGTGGAACAACCAAAAATGCACTTAGAACCCTTTCCATTTACTATCAACTTCTTTTAAACTTTTTATTTACCTTGTCCATTTCTCCGAATCCTTTGCGTTTGAGTTTAGGTTCGCTTTCTTCGAGTTCTCTGTTGTTAGCTGCTCTGCCACATGATTATATAATATTCATGTGGTTCTTTGTTTTTTAGTTTTTCTTTTTATTTGCCTTGAATATTAGATGCTGGGCATCCAGCAATTTCTTACGCGGGAGTGTTGTCTCTTTCATTAATTTGCTCATAAAACACGGATTAGGTGCGAAGTGTTCACCATTAGCAATAAAATACCCACCATCATGAATTGTATGCCAAATATGAGGACCCACCGAACTATAAAAATGTTGCAACATCGCATTGAAGTCATTGGTGCTAAAAGGATCAAACGAGGTGGGTGGCTGAATATTGACACCACAATAATTCCATTTCATATGCATTTATCATTGCAAGACGGAAAATATACTAGAAGATGTGAAAATTTGGAAGCGGTGGGTGACTCCGATTAGATTGCTCTACGTTGCGGGTAACGTCAAAAATTATTTAAAAAAAAACAGAAGTACAAGCATGGTTAACGCTTTGTTAGTATCATTAAAAAATTTAATTGAAGATTGAAAATTAATGAGTATTTAATAAAATAAATAAAAAGTTATATGCATTTCTTTTGACTAACTTTTAAATGGGAAAAGTAATCGTGAAAGGTTGTGAAAACAAGAACATTTGTCAATATTGGCTTTTTCTTGTTGATAAAAATGTGGTCAAACATTGAGTTCATCCTATCAAATGGATGATTTATTAAATCGAAGTTAGTTAACCAATCAACGACTGAATTACCTTCCCTGAAAGTATTTTGGACACTACCCTCCCAATACCTTCTAAGAAGATTCCTAGTTTTTAGAATAAAAACCAAGCTGGCATCTGATATTACGTTATCTCTCTGTACAAGTTCAAGTGCAATGATTGAATTAGATTCAAGCATAAGTTTATGGATGGATATGTCTCATACAAGTTATAAACCGGAAACCACCAACCATAGCTCGGCTTGAACCGAAAGGCAGTATCCAGTATTAATGGTGAACCCTTTAATCAATGTGCCATAGTTGTCCTGAATGAGACCTCATGCTCTAGCTACCCCTGAATCCCCTTCGCTACACTCATGAACATTGAGTTTCATTCATTGATTAGAAAGGTAAATCCATCCTATTTGTGCCACTTGTTTATTGGTGCCTAAAAGTATCTCATCATCATTAATGTACTTAATATAAGCAACAAGACTATTAATAACACATGATGGATTAGAGTTTAGATTGGCTTCACCTTTAAAAGCTCTATTATTTCGCCACTTTCATATGAACCATGCCGCTAAACCAAATATGATGAACCATGAAATCCCTTTTTTCTGTAGAAATACTAATAGAGAGATTATTAGCAAACCACTAAATAAGACCTACTGAGGAAAAAATCCCTCTCTCTTCAGGTTTGGTAATAGCCTATCATACTTCCTTGCATAAGTACATTCCCATAGAATCCCTTTCTGCTGGATAATGACAGCAGTAAGGCTTATTTGTAAAATATCAGCGTACTCGAGCCTCATTTGTCATAAGACTATTATGAGTTGCAGGCCATGAAAAAACAATCTTGATTTTTTCTGGGCCATTCCATTTCCAAATTAATTTCCATAGGGAATGCAGATCCTTGAGTTGATGCATATTGTATACCTATGAATTATAAGCTAAATGAACAATAAGCACTCCCTGATAAGTATGTAAAGCCAACCACCTTAAGTAAATTATGGTAGGAGAAGGTGAAGCCATCCTTTTATACCATAATCGAGAAGGTGAAGCCATCCTTTTACACCATAATTAAAAATTATAAACACCAAATTAATGTTACTTGTCCTACCCCTTATCTTTTATATGAATGCTTGTTTATAATTAGACAATACATCCAAGTATTTATACATAGCATAAGAGAGAAACTGAGAGCAAGTAGAAAGAAAGAAGAGAGGGTGAGGAGAGAATAATCCTACAAAATTGTGAGGTATCTGTGAGTTAGTACGTGAAATGTTTTTCTCCTAGTAATAAAAAAATTTTAGTTGTTCTTCTATTATTAGAGAGAAGTTGTATTCCCACATTACTTAGTAAAATTCTTCTATATTTGCCTGTGGACGTAACTTAATTAGATAAACCATGTAAATTCTTGTGTGTTTCATTTCTCATTTTATCTTATCCCTTACTTTTTATCTTGTCGGATTTGCATATCAGTATCCTAACAAAATAAGCATCTTACATACTAAATCTTCATTAATACTATCAAATGGAGGAGGATAGATTGTGATAACCATTAACACCTGCACCTGCATGTGTAGAAGATGAGCAAATGCTTTCCATTTCCACTGATTATCAGCTGTAACAAATTCAACCATGATATAGTTTTTCAAATCATCTGGAATATCTTACACTAAGTGCACACATAATGGTCCAAACCCATCTAACTAAAATCTCATTTCGAACCTATTCTCCACTGACCAGCCAAGTCCCTCAATTACTTTTAGCTAGGCCTTACAGATAGCTTTTCAAAGTGGGGAATCCATACCTTTAGCCTATATATAAGGAGCATGATCCTTCTTCTTAATATATTTACCTCGAAGCACTTCCACATAAAAATTACATTTGTCATGAATTATGCCCCAACCAAGTTTCATGATAAATGCTTTATTCATGTTATGCATCTTTCTTAATCCTAAACCTCCTCCTATTTTAGGCTAACATATAGATACTCGTTTGACTAGGTGAATTTTATTCCCATCTTCATTGTATCCCCATATAAAACCTCTATAAATTCTCTCAATATCCTTACGAACTAATTTCGAGATAAGAGAGGACTGCATAGGATATAAAAGGCGTCGTTGACAGAACTTATTTGCACAAAGTTATTCTCCCTACCAATGATAAATTATTAGACTTTCATGCTGCCATTTTTTCAGCATGCTCTCAGTGATATAAGCTTAAGTTTGTTTCTATTCTCTGGTGCAATAATGAGACCCCAAGATAGTTTTCAAAGTCATCTGATCTAGTAAAGCCATTGTTCCTTCCAATGATTGTTGTTAAGTTAGATGAGACATTCTTAGAGAAAAATATTTTTATCTTAGAAATATTCACCCTTTAGCTTGATGAGATAATGAACAACTTTAAACAATGCAAAACTCTCTCAGGTTGTATTTCACTAGCTTTAGCAAATAACAGCATGTCATCTGCACAACATAAATGAGAAATCTTCATGCCTGTTTTTGCTAACTTTGAATGGCTTCCACAATCCATCCTTAACTACTTTACTTATTATTAGGACAATTGTTCCAGGCAAAGAACAAAATATAAGGCGAGAGATGGTCCCCTTGTCTTATCCCTCTAGTCGATTTAAAGATATAGGACACTTCTTCGTTCCATAAAACCAGTAAAGATGAACTCTCAAAGCAAGACATGATCAATATGTAGAGCTAATATGGAAACCCAACGTTTTCCAATATATCCCTTATAAAGCCCTATCTTGATCAAGCATAGGCCCTTTCCAAATCCATCTTGATTGTCATGTAGCCTCTTTTTCTTTTTTTTCTTAGCTACAATTATATTATATATAGTATGTCATCTTAGAACAAAACGGCTTTGGAATTGGAAAATTAAATATGACATTATCGATTTCAATCTATTTACCACTTTGTCAGATCTTTAAAAATTATACACATCCCAGTAGGTCTAAATTGGTGAATATATTTTGGTTTACATAGTTTCAAAATCAACACCAGATATGACTGACTGATCTCTTGAACTTTAGTTTTGCCTTCAACTATGTGCTTTATAAACTTGTAAACAAACTTCGCCACCCATTGTCACTATTACTGATAGAAAATAGGCTGATAACCATCTAGTCTCAGTGCTTTGTAAGGCTTCATGTCAAACATTGCCCTCTTTACTTCCTCATTAATTATTGGATCTAAAAAATTATCTATAAACCCCTGACTGACCAGTAGGAAGACTCCATGAAGTTGGAACTTTAGTATTGTATCCTCCTCTCTACTGAAAAGTCTTCAATAAAAATCCACGGCCATTTGTTGTAACAAACTATCATACAAGACCCATTATCCATTATCATCCTTAAGATTTTTTATTCTATTTCTTTGCCTCATGATTATTGTTTTCATATAAAAATATGATGATTTTCTATCTCCAACAGAGATCCAGTGGCATCTAGATTTTTATACCAAAAAATCTCCTTCTAAGATAGAATATAATTGTACTCCTCAGTTAACAGTCTTTCCATCCTATAAAAATACTTATCACCTCTATTATTCAAAGGTCTTTGAATCCCTTCTAGTCTAGCTAACACCCTCCTCTGACATAGAAAAATATGTCCAAATACATTTTTATTCCACATTTTCAATTTCCATTTCATCTCCCCAAATGCATCTGTTAAGATTGCTTCACTTCTCTAATTATCCTGTATAAGTTCAGGAAATTTGTTTAAAGTGATCCATGTTGCTTCAAATCTGAATGGTCATCTGGCTTTCTATCTTTGCTCTAACATATTATCAATCTCTACAAGAATTGGGTGGTGATTTGATTTTACTCTAGGCAGCACTCTGATTCAAGCGTTTATGAAACGAAGTCTTTTACCAAACTGCATACACTTCCTCAGAACACTTGGTCCCCCTTCTATTTTCTCATAAGCTAATATAATTTCTTTAAAATCTCACATTAGCATCCAAAGTGACAATATAGATGTTAATAGTAGACTAACCTCCTCGGAATATCCCTTCTTTAGTGTTTCTTTTGGATTCACATGGATAGTTGTACATAACCATGGAACCCTTCCCCATCATCCACTATAAAATGAACTTGATGTTTAGAAAAATATAAGACTTGTATGTCTATCTTCTCCTTATTCCACAAAAGTCGTAATCCACCTAACTTACCTTGAGCTTCCATACTACAACTGTCACTAGATTTTAATTTAATCATAATTTTATTAGCAATATCACCATTTACTCGTGGTTCAGTTACTATCAGAATATCAAAGTTATACAACCTCCTATAATCGTTCACAATGGAACAAAATCTTGTATTCCCAGCCCCTCTAAAGTTACAATTCAATCCCTTCATGAAAAATGAAGTAAAAAAATTGTAACACCTAATTCCAACCATCATGTAGA